AGCACCCACACGCGACGGCCCGGCCTCGGAGGCGGCACTGCAGCTGCTGTGTCGCGCCGACGGGGGTCCGCTGTGCGCCGCCTGCCGAATGGCGGCGGGGCCTGAGCCGCCGGAGTGGGAGCCCCGCTGGAGGAAGGTGCTGCGCGGCAAGGTGCGCAAGGGCGGTGCCCTGTGCCGCCATCCTCTTCGCGACCCGGGTCCTTGCCTCCGGACGGCGCCCTGACCACCCTCCCAGTCCTCCGTATGATGCCCTGTTCTCAAATCCGCTCCCCCGCCCCCAGATGGTGCTCTCCTTCCCATCCCGGGGAGGTGTCTGTGGGCCTCCCCATCCCCTCGTGCCCATCCTTTCCTCTTTGGCCTGTCTTTCCTCTCCCCAACCCGCAGATGGTGTCCTGCTGCCGGTTCTGCCCCTTTGCCTAGTTCCCTAGGCCTTACTGCCCTCCTCCATGCATGACGTAACCCTGAGGCAGCCTTAGCCCCCCATGGGTGAACCCTCTGAGGCTGTCTAGCAGATAAGGCCCCTCTGTATTCCAGTACCCCCCTACCCCCCTTTCTCACTCCCTCCTAGTCCTCCCTGAGCCTCTCCGTTTACTGTTCTGGTACTTTGACTGCATTACACATGGTACCTGACCCTGCGTGGAAACCCACCAACTGGCAACCCAGGGACCTGCCCTTGCGGATTATGGGTGTTCAGGGTCATATATGAGAGAATAAACAGCCAGTCAAACTGTAGCTGGGCTCTCCTCCTACTGGGGGCTCTTCCCACCTACCCAGCCAGTGTACATCAGTGCCAGTGCCTAGTAGGCCCTGGGTGTGGCCGTGCTCGCCCTATGGGGGTTATGTGCAGGTTCTTGTGGGATTCCCAGAGTGACCCTGCCAGGGCCATTCCTCCTGAAAAGGATATGGTGACTACTTTTGGCAAATATCCACCCCTGTGCTAGTGACAGTAACACTGGGAAGCTTAGGGGACACTCATGTCCAGTTATATGGTTAGATTTTTAGCACAAGATTTTCTATGAGGCTTTTTCCTGGAGCAGGCTTAGTGGGGTCACTTAAGACCCCTCTGGCACCTGCAGCCTGTTAGCATGCATCTGGCCACAGTGGGGCCTTCTGGATAGTCAGACATTTAGCGAACTCAGGAGGTGCAAAGTCCCCTGCATTGGGCTAAGGGAGAGGTGTCCTAGACCTTCAGGTGTGGCCGCCCACCTGGTAACCAGCATCTCTTCCCAGGAGAATAAGGGCTCTGTGGAGATCATGAGGAAAGATCTGAATGATGCTCGGGACCTGCATGGCCAGGCTGAGTCTGCTGCTGCTGTGTGGAAGGCAAGTGGGAGTGGACCTGGGTCCGTGGGAATGAGGGGACATTCCCTTGGGATGGAGCTCAGCCCTCTGTAGCAAACCTTCTCTCTTCCTTGAGGTGGACATGGGGCTAGGGTACTGGGTGCAGCCTGAGGACACAGGTGTCCTTCCTTGCTGCCCACCCTGCAGGGACACGTGATGGACCGCAGGAAGAAGGCCTTGACCGACTACAGGAAGCTTCGGGCTTTCTTTGTGGAGGAGGAGGAGCGCTTCCTGCAGGAGGCAGAAAAAGAGGAGGGGTCCCCCGAGGATGAGGATGCTGACCCTGCAGAGAGGTTCAGGTCCCTCCTGCAGGCCCTGTCGGAGCTGGAGCGGAGGCACCGCAACCTGGGCCTCAGCATGCTGCTCCAGGTGGGCCCTGGCCCCATTTTGAAGGCCTTAAGCTACCAAGAGAGGGCTTAAGGCTAGGCCTGGCCTTCGTTTGGGGCTGGATTTCAGAAATGAGTAATCCAGCAGACTCCCCAGCCTCTGTTACTGGCAGTGTTTCGTGAGGGAGGACTGTTCCACATTATTTGAAGCACCAGGCCCCTGTCCTACCCTAGCGCTCTACAGGCAGGAACTGGCCATGGGGTCCAGGAGCACAGGGTCCCCTGGAGAATGATGGCCATCTGACCTTCGTCCTGCATGTCCCCACACCCTATGTCTAGGGTCTTGCCTAACCCTTGAGGCTCTGGGTCATTTATATCCCCTCTGATCCTGAGCCAGCAGCCCCCATCCTTCCCTTCTCTGGGCAGGGAAGTGTCATTTCACTCAGAGAATGCTTGTTATCAGCTCTTGGTAGGTGGTGGTTTTGGGTGATGATTGTGGGAGGCTTGGCTTCAGCCTTGGGGAGCTGTCTGTGGCTTGTGGAACTGGGGCATGGTCACCTGGGTTTCAGGGCAGCAGCTCCCTCCTCTACCTCTCTCCTTCCCTATCTGTCTTCCTGCAGTGATGCCAGGTAGAGGAAACTGGTTCGACCCTGGCCCAGCCTCCAGCAGCTCCTCCATGCGCCTCCTTTGGGACCCTGGAGGGTCTTCACCTAGGCGAAGACTGGGCTTCATACCGTAGGTGAAACCTTGGGTTGTCCCCTGAGCAGTGTTGGTGTCTTTTTTTCCTCGGGTGTTTGTGTTTTTGGGCTATAAAAGCCAGCCTCACTGGAGACCTGAAGCAGTGGGAGGCATCAGTAACCCAAGTGTGTCCTGTCCTGTCTCTTCATAAAGATGTTATTGCTGCCACTGAGTCTCTTTAGATCTGCCTGGGGTCTCCATGACAACTGTTGTTGTCACAACTGCCAGGTGGCTGGGTTGTCCAGACCTGGCACCCACCCCCTTTAAACACTGCCCGTGATGGGCTTATTCTACCTAGGCTTGAAGACCGCTGTCTGAGCATTGGGCATTTGGGGTGGTCATCAAAGGAAAGGGAATCCCAGGGCGCCCAGATGGAGAGGGTGGACAGGTAGGTCAACCTGTCACTCCTGTTTGAGGCCCCGACAGCTTGTGTCCCCCACAAACCAACCACAGCTCAATTTTTGTGTGCAGTAATGGCCCCTGGGTTCTCCTGGGTCTGGGAAGTCAGCCCCCTGTATACCTCACCTGCAGCTATGTTCCCTGTGTCTCCCAGTGTGCCTACTGGCTGTGCTCATTTCTCCATCATTGTCCTGCAGGAGCAGGTTGGCATGTTGTCAGTCTCTCTGTGCCCTTGGCTTCCCTTGCTATGTAGTTCCTCCCATAGACGAATTTAGCAAAACCCATGATTTAGTGGCAGCGTCATTGTGTAGATGAATTCAAGAGACAAAAATGCCACACAGTGATAGGACAAGGGGTCCCAGTGCATTGGCATAGACATATTTAGGCTCGCTTGGGCTGTGAGTTGCCCCGAATTAGTGGCTTTGTGATCAATGGGCCATTTAGATGTGGATGCCACTGGCTCTGGTTTGTGAGTTTGGAGCTGGCATTTCTGGAGCCAGGGTCAGGGTTTGCTCTCATCTCTCCTCCCTCTCTACTCCACTGCCCCATGATTGGGTGGGGGCTTCTGCAGGTGGATCTTCTCTTTGATAGTCCCCCACCTCCTGCCCTCACCAAGCGATACTGGGGAGCTAGCCCAGGCTCCTGCCCACCGAGTCCCAGATGCCCATTAGGAGGCCTGCCCATTATTCCCCTCTCAATTGGAGACTCAGGTGCAGCCCAGAAAGGTGTTGCCCAGTGGTATTGGGGGCTAGGGATAGACATGAGGTCCACTGGCACAGACTTGCTTTCTTTCTGACAGTGGCAGACATCTTTGCTGCTCTCACATGCTGTCTATGTAAGGATGACTGGCGGAGAGATTGTATATCAGAAAGGGAGACAGAGTCATCATCTTGTCAAACCAAATGACTTTGGCTAAATAACCTTAATAAATAATCCTGACCCCTCAGATCAGGAGTTAGTACTAGGGGTCCCCTCTGGCTTCTTCCAGAGTCTAGGGGATCCAGGAGGAAGCCACCTGCCTTGTGTCCAGTAGGGAGCGCTGACTTGGGATCCAGTGAGGCCCGGCCGCCACCTCTGAGTGTATGGGCAGTGAGAGCTCTGTGGCAGCCTGTTTATTTATGAGTTCATATATTCAGTACTGAGGTGCAGTCCCTCTGCTTGGATTGTCAAAGCTCAGTGGGAAAGTCGTGAGTATTTGAGAACTGCAGCCCATTTTCAGTTTCAGAACCGTAGTCCAAGGGGAGCAGAGACTAATGCTGAGGATTGTTTCACTCTCAATGGAGATGTTAATGCATCATGTTATGAGGAAATACTGACACCCTTTGAGACTTCATGTGGAGACTTTGGTGAGCTGCTCCAGGCAGAAATCAGAAACCCAGGTGACAGCAAGGTGTGAGTCGGGATGCCATGTGGGGTGTGGACTGGGGCTGCCATTTGGGAAAGTACCCTGAGGTCAAACTAAATACATGTGGGAGTCAGGCCAACAGGAGGTTAGGAGGAACCAGTCCTCAAGACCAGCCTTGCTTCCCACACCATATGCAAATCCCAGGGTTTCCCAGAACCCCACTGGGGCTTGAGAATTCACTATAAACACTCCCAAAGCTCACTGAAGGCTGTTTGCTCATGGTGATGGTTTATCATGGGGAGAAGAGACAGGCTAATGGGCTGCAAACCTGTCCTAGGGGGCAGGGCTGCTACCTGCAGGGAAGATGGGGCAGGCTGCTCTGCAGACCTATTGACTGATGCCAACCCTCTGGTCATCGGTAGTAGGGTGTCTCCTCCAGCTCTGCCTGCCCTAGGGAAGTGGGGTCACAGAACACAAGAACTACCTATAGTAGTTTCGTGGGAACACTGCCATTGCTTTATTGCCACCAGTGGACAGGTTGGTGCTTGGAATGGTTTCCACAGGTGAGGTGGTTGGGCATACAAAAAATGCCTTTTCAAGGGTCCCAGGGCCAGAGTAGCAAATGGGTGGAGCAGAAGATATTTGCAGTGGTCCACACCGAGACTGCACAACGAACTCCTGCAAATCAGAAAGAGCCCACAGCAACTGGGGTGAAAGAATACAGGACAGGGTATGGTGGACAAGCAGGTGGGAAGAGTAGCTAGAAGCCCAGGGACAAAGGGTCAAACATGTTAAACCAGAGAAACCACATACCTGCTCCTGGCTCTGCACTGCTGCTGAGTTCTGCAGCACAGCTGCCAGATGTCAGCTGATTTAGGGTTTAATGACCCTGGACCCAGGGGACCTACTCCCTGAAGTTCCAATCGTAGCCCTCTCCAGGCCCACTGGGAATGCACATGTGGGTGTACCTGTACACAGTTTTAGAGAAAGCGAACAGAGACGCAGATGTTCCTCACTGGTGAAAGTGGGAGATCAAATGGGGAATGGAGGCCACTGAGGAGGCCTAACCCCGGGGACACAGGTGCTGGACTCTGGAGCTGATGGCACCATGCTGAGACGAAAGTGAAACAACAGCACTATTTATGTAAATTTAAAATGCTTGCACACACCACAATTCACAGTTGCAAGAACACAATATTGACAAATGGAACCCATTAGGATAGTTACCCATGGGGTGGGGGAGGAGGTTGAATTGAGGGTGAACTTTTTCTGGGCTACTTTGAGACTTCTCAAGAGGCTGAGTCAGCCCCCACCCCACCACAATGTCCTTTCCTTCTCTGGCCATGTGGGAGCCCCAGCAACAGCATCCTAAAAGGCCCTTGGCCGGGTTGGTCCCCTTGCCAGCTCAGCTATTTTCACTGGTGGTCCACCATCATTTCTTGGGAGGGTTGGGCCTGGGAAGGGGTCTGGGGCCTCCGACAAACTAGGTAACTGAGCACATGACTAGGACCGGGAAGTTCCTGCAGGTTAACCTGTGGTGGAGGGGAGTAGTTTCCTGGCCTGGAGCCCCATCTGCCCCAAGTCAGGTGGCTCAAGGCTGAGGAGCCTCCTTTCCTAGAGGGAATCTCAGTTTAGAGATGATTTAAATGATACACAGATCCCATATTCCTTTTTCTTTATAAGATAATATTTTGGGCCCAGAGGTTTATTAGACTTCCATCCCTGAAGAGGGATGTGGTAGTGAGCCACTTCTACTTCACAAGCCTTGCAAGTATTTATAAAACCACTTAGGAATGAAGACATCTACATTAAAACACTGTCATCAATCAGATGTCAGCTGATTTAGGGTTTAATGACCCTGGACCCAGGGGACCTACAACACATCAAGTAACAAGAAGAATTAAACTTTAACAGGACACAGTAGCAACCTCTAGTTTTGTTTTTTTACAAGGCAGTTTTGCACAAATAAGAGTGGGCAGATTTAAATAAAACAGAAAATGGAACATGTTGGTCACATATATAAAGACTCCTTGTGTCCTCTGTTGGTCAAACAAGACTGTCCTCTTGTGAAAGTTTTCTCTCCCACACCTTGGGTCAGCCACCGAATTCGTTCTGTGACCAAAAAATGGTGTCTCTCCTGACCAGCACCTTTGCTGGTTGGCTCTGTGGGGGGATTCCTTTCTTTAAAGACTTTAATGATGGCTGAGCTCGGGAACACCATTCCTTTGTCTACCGAGACCCAGTGGGCCTGCCGGGAACTGGAGACAGAGCCGGATAAGCGCCGCTATAAATAGTAAGGTAACACTCGTGGGCTAGGCCAGCCCGCCTTGGGCTCCTTTCCCAGCCCCACGGGGGCACCACGCGCACTACTTGCACACTCTGGGCCACCAGCATCGAAGGAAACCAAGGCGTGAGTGGGGGGACGTGAGGAATGTCTGGAACAGAAAGGCACCCGGCCCTCGTACACGTCATCTCTAAGGACCGCAAGCGCCCAGCTCGTGGAGAGCGCTGCGCTTTGTGTTCTGCTGCCCGGGCCCCTGTACAAAAGTCCAAGTCTTGTCTGATTGGAGAAGCCGCAGCCAATGGGGCTCATATGCTGCAAGGCTCCTCCATCCCATTGGTGGGTGCAACACGCAGCGGCGCGCTCCGCCACTATAAAGGTTGGCTTTCCGAGCCGTGGTCCACAACGCTGCAAGCAGGCCGCCGGGGCCGTCTGCAATTTGATGAGCTCAGCAAGCTCTGGGCCGTGTGACCATTGCTCAGATCCGCGTCCTGCGTGACATCCAGGCTGTGCCATGACACCAAAGACTTCAGAGTCATCCACACAGCCAGGAGCGACCTGCTGATGTGTCTCCTCTTTCCTTCTCTCCTCAGTTCACTGTCGTTCCTTATCTCGTTCAGCTGAGGTCAGTAGTGAGACAAGGTTGGCACACGAGCTGGCAATGGACCTGGCTTTTAAGAACAGTGTACACATAACCGTTGGCGCCTGGGCCAGGGCAGCCAGTTGTGTGCCTCAACCCTCTGCAATAATGCTGTGGGGTAGGGGACATGGGTGGGCATGTCGCAGCAGAGGTATGGAATGGGTTCCCTAGGATGTTTACTTCCCGCGGAAGGGGTGCTCTCTGGGTCCCTCTAGGAACGAACTGCAGACAGAAGTCATTCCTGGACAAAAGCCTGGCTCAATGATGGATTCTGCTGGGCTCTACCTTCCTATTGGTTCACATAGGCCTTTCCCACCAATGCTTCTTTCACTGCCCCCCATCTAGAATATAAAACTCTCAGCTCCTGATGGGATTTAGGACATGCTGCCCCAAATCCAGCAGCTGGGCATATTGAATACCTTGAGCCGAAGTTGAGGAAACACCAGATGCAGGAAGGTCACTGACCTTGTTTTTCACCCCTGAAACAGGCCCTAAACCCTCAA